AGAGAGAGAGAGAGAGAGAGAGAGAATTGAAGCAGATAACTGTACTGACAATTATCTGAAAAATTTATTATGTTTAATTAATATATTTGTTGTCTCATTCATTGTTGACTAAACCTATTAAACAATTTAATGCATCATTTATTTTACTTTATTTTCTAATATTATGTCATATTTTTCATAGACTTGTGTTTAGTAATATAATAAACATAGTGTTCATTGATTTGTTTGCCTGAAATACACAACTAGTTAAAGTAAATCTTCCGGCTCTCTCTCTCTCTCTCTCTCTCTCTCTCTCTCTCACTCACTATTGCTCTCATGTAACTGTAATTGTATTGTAGTTTTTTGTACCGGTAAAATAGGTGTGGATACTTATCGAGATTATTTAGGTTTATTTTTTCTGTGTCGCCAACCATTTTACAACGATCACATTTAAGTGATATTTATATATGAATATTGTTGAATGTTTTGAATATTAAAGTGTTTGATTTCACACTTGATTTTTCAGAGGTAATGGAGGTAATGGTAATTCATATATTTTATTATTTTGATCACACATGTGTTTTTGTGTTAAATTCTGTATATTTCTAATTGTAATTATTCTCTCTCTCTCTCTCTCTCTCTCTCGCTTATGGCTACAAATCCTATACAAATGAAGTGCAAAGCAAACATTATATACAGTATATGGAAATTATTTGTCTTGTATTTTGGCGATAAGTATAAATAGCGACTATAAAACTATGTAAAGAGTGTTACGATGTTATAGTCTATTCCAATGCTTGCCTACGGAAAACAGTCGTGAGAAATATCGTATACAACCTGTAGATGTAATTATACAATAACCTTATCATGTTCATATCCGGGGAATGGAGGCTATAAACATAGTACAGGGGTTATAGCATAAGATAATTTCCCTGGATAATTATATAATTAATTTTGTATATTACTAAACGTACCAAATACTTATCAATAATAAATAATTTCTCATATTCGATGTGAATTAAACTGCACATAAATTGTAGGTATAATGAAAAATATAAATCTTGTTGTAATAAACAATTTTATGTTGAATTTTATTAGTTCACTTAAATAAATATTTAAAAAAAGTAATTATAATATCGTTTATTTATTCTTGTTTTAATGAACTGCACATCAATTCCTATATTATTTCTTATAAATAAAACAATACATTTAATTTGCAAAATAAATATAATTAAATATTGAATTAGAAAATTGTAAAAATATATCCAAATCTAGACAATTTTTAATTATAATTTCTTTACATGTATTAATGTAATGAAAATAAAGTTTTATTTAAATTATAAAATAAATTATTTGCCAAAAGATTGCATTAGTTGTCCCATAAGTGACATTAATTTAAGTCAAACCTAAAGTTCAGTTATTATTCATTTTTTACCAATAGATGGCAATAATGTCTCCATTAGTTGAATATTTTTGAGTGAAACCTAAAGTGCAGTTTTGATGTATGTATTGACCAATAGATGGCAACAATGTCTCCATTAGTTGAATATTTTTGAGTGAAACTTACATTTTTGTTAAAACTTTTTAATGCATTCTATGAGTTGCCAAAAGATGTATAATTTATAACAATAACTGTCCATAAAGTCATACAAATGTAAATAATTGTATTTATTTATTGTTCATCCCTTCAAACCTTGTGTCCATTCGGAAGAAATCACTTGTTTTGCAAATAAAACACAATCTTAATGACAAACTCGACTACAACTTAAGCCTTCAAATAGAAACTATTACCGGGTATTCAATCAAAAAAAACAATTTTTTGATATTTTCAAACATTTTATTATTTTTTTTGTTATTTTTTATATTAAATTTTAATATGTAATAAATATTAATTTTTATAATAGAATATATAAATGTATTAGTATTCCAAATAAATCCGCTTATACTGAACACAAACACCAATTATAATGATTATTAAATGTAATATTGTTTAAAATAGTTATATAATGTGTAAATTAAAAGAGATAAAATTGAGATAACATAATTCATGTATGTAAAAGTTAGAGATTATATCGTTAAGTTAATTGACACTCATATAGTGTACGAAAAATAAATGAATAAACTTAATCACCATAACTAAACTTGCATTGACCTATCTGATATTATAATAGAATTATGAAACTAACCACATATTATTTTAATAAAACAAAACTAAACTAAAATTTTATGTTATATTTATTAATACATGATAATTATTATTATACGGTATTAGTGCATAATATTGGATTAAAAACCGTATAATAATGATAAAATAGTTGTTCACTATAAGCGGGTTTATGTGATATATTATATAATAACGTCAAAAACCGGACAATTTTATCCGAAATACTCAGTTCTCACTAATGGCTGAAAACTGTGCCGTTTTTAGCGAGTATTTCGAGTAAAAAATACATGAAAATAAAGTAAAAATATTTTGTTTCAATGACTTTAAGCCACTGAAAACGTCCAATTGATTAGTAGTTTTGCAATTAACAAAAATAACTCATAAATATATAATCCAGTGGTGGCCAGAGGGGGACAGACGGCTGTAGTGTAAGTAAAATAGGGGGACATATCATCGTAATAACTATTACGGTATTAACAAATATCATTGTAATAAATGAAATAACTAAACATGAGGTAAATTTCAGTCAAAATCATTGGCAAATTGCATACAATATAGCATTAAATGTAATTAAAACACAAGTAAAATATTAAACATAAAGTAAATAAGATTAATTAATACACAATTAAACACCGGGGTTAGTTTATGAAGTTTAAAAATAGTGCATAACTGTCCCAACGAAACACAACAGACAACTGTCCCCACTGTATGTGTGGGCCTGCTTTGAGGGTCTGGCCATCACTGGCGAGGATTAGTATAAACGTAAAATATATCACTTATATGTGTGACTAAATATGGTTGCAATGAATAACAATAGAATTAACACATGTGTGCTATCAATACTGCGGCGGTGCCCACAAGTTGGGAGTCACTGCACGCGACTCCCGGAGCCGCCGATTAGTTTAACAGTAATACATGTTATTTTTGAGCGACGCGTTCACTCGGATACTGGAATTGATTTGCGCGGCCGCTTTGTTTTCACGTATCTTACGGTCGGCGTCGGACTCGTCGCGGGGCGGACCGTGACGTGCGGGCGCGGCGGGGGCTCCGCGACCACGACCGCGGCCTCGACCGGCACCCGAACCACTGGCTGCGTCGGCGGCAGATTCAGCAGCGCGTTGATTGTACGACAATATATGGTTGCGAGCCCTGTACGCGGCCAAATGGGCGTACTGTACGGGCGCCGGTATGCTTATAGGCTTATCGCAACGCGCGTACGTATAGCACATGTAGTACGAGAGCTTCTGGAGCTCATCAGCGCTGAAGCCATAGTCGTCGTGGAGGACATAGTAATGGGTCGGACGACTCGTACCCTATATACAGAGAAAGATAACAACGGGTTAATCACAACTGCAAATAAGCTTAGGAATGGGGGCACCGATACCTGAATGCCCTCGTGTGAGCACAAGTAGAAGTCAAAGTCTGTCGGGTGGACGACATGCGAGTCGACTGTAGTGCCCGCCGGAATGTTTTTCATACGTCCGGTGCCTTGTCTGGGGTCGGCCGGACGGAAGCGGGTGTGGTGTCGCTTCTGCACCGTTACGAAAGTCACTTTTGGTGGAGTAGTTATGCCGGCCTTACGGCAACCCTCCAGTAGTTTTCTATGCTCGTAGTCCAACACCGTTTGGAACTGAGACTCAGAAACACCGTCCCTGTATTTGGTTACAAAATGATCAGTGAGTGAGTGAGTGAGTGAGTGAGTGAGTGAGTGAGTGAGAGAGA